AAAATATCGCCATATAGTTGTGAAAATATGGTGCGAATATGTTTGCACGCTTGAAAAATAGTGGTTTGGTTAAGAAACTAAGTAAGTAAGCTTCACCAGCGAAGGGAAGTTGTTGAACATTCCAAGGAGGCACCCCAAGGCTCATGCCCAAGCAACGTAGGGACGCTTGGCGTCCTTTCTGTTGATTAGCTTATTAGTAGCTATTGAGCTATTGCCTTACAAATCCTTCTGCCTAGGACCCGAAGGAAAGGTGTGTAGTAGAGAAGGAAAGGTGTACTGTCCTAGTGACCCGAAGGAAAGGTGTACTCCCCCAGGCGTGTCCTAGGCCCTAGGCCAAAGGTTAAAGCCTGAACCCTGAACCCTAAACCTCAAGCATCAAATTTTTGAGGTGACCCAGGCAGGGTGAGACCACCTGCAGCCCACCATATCAAAACCATAACAAAATCATTAGCAAAATCATAAACCAAATCAAAAAACTAATTCCCAGACCCATGTTTTTATGATTTTGATATGATTTTGTTATGCAGCGCCTTATAGATTTCTTATGTTTTTGTTATGCTTTCAGACGACCAATGGTTCTGAGATATGGATTGCTTGCAGTTCCCAGGTCCCAGGCCATGGGTGGATGGGTAGTTTAGGGCCTAGGGCCGAGTATCTACTGTCCTGGGCCCTACGCCAAGGTGTGTACTAGATGCAGGTGTGCTGTCCTAGGAAAGGTGGGAACTCATGTATGAAGGCCAACGCCTCTCTGCTTTCATTAGTGAAGAGGTTCCTTTGGGAACACTAGTCACTAGTCACTAGTTAGTTCTCAAAACCCATCATACAATAGAGACTATTCTATTCCTGAGTAGTTTTTAGTTGCATTTAAAACCAACCAGAAAACGGACCAAGAGACTTGCAGAACAACAAAGATTTTTCGCAGTTTACCATGTTTTTTTGAAAAATGTATTTTCTTTCTTTGTAGCAGAGGAAATCTTGTGAAAATACACCACAAGTTTGGCTGAACACACATCTCAACTACCATGTTTTGCAACCCAAAGGGCTCTGTATATGTGAAATTGCAGACCTCAAAGAGCATAACGAAACCATAAGCAAATCATATCCAAAAACAAACCCACCAAAAAATCATAAAATTTCATAAAGTCAATCGTAACCAAATCATAAGGAAAACGTAAAAAACATAACAAAATCAGAAAAGACAATATTTTAAAATCATATTTTTGTGGCCTACCTCAAACTCACAACACAAGGCAAATCTCATATGGAATCTCTTCCACTTTCAAAGCCGATGCAATGCTGCCCAAACGCAAGCTGGTCTGTTCAGTGGGGCTTCTATTCACTGAATATACAAATTCTGCATCACAGGGCCATTCATGCATTTTCCCTTGCGCCCATTCAAATGGTTTGCTTTTTTCGCGCACAGCCCTCATGTGAGATTGAATGATGTCTGTCCAGTACTGTACATCTTTCCAGTGGTTCTCCAGAAATTTTCTCACCTCACCTTCAACTAATGTTGAACGCGTTTCCACCACCAAGGTGGCGGAGGCCTCAAGTTGGTTCAAACCATTTTCTTCATCTTCCAGCTCAGCAGCGGTGCGATAATCAACTGGCACTGTACCCTCCGGAACAGTGTTGTCATCAGCTGGCACAGTACCCTTCAGCTCACTACTGTCATCCACAGTGTACCTGACTCTAGACAAGAGGATCCTCCTGAGGGTCCGGACTGCCAGGTCGGCCCAGCCCACCGAGAGCGTCAATAGTGGATGTAGTCGACGATAGGCGGGCATGGTTCACTGCCCAAATTTTACGATTCATTTCAGACAACACCAACGTGAGAGATCTGATCGTGACTGACTGAGCATCAAACGATTGCAGCAAGTAACCGTGACTGACTGACTCTGATCTTCAAACTCTCATTTCTTGAATCATTCAACTGACTTGGCTTTGATTAATTCTTTTGCAATCCAATTGAAACAACAATTCGTTCATGTGCGGACCTGCCCCCCCTCCCACAGGCCTTGCCATAGGTGATGACATCTCCTGTCTGAGTCAGGATGAGGGAATCCTGCCAAGTTCAATTCTTGTCATTCTGGCTGGGCAGTTCCAATTCAATCTCCTATTCATTAAATAATTTTCAATCTGGCTGGGCAGACCTTGTCAGCGCCAGTGATTCTGCCAGGCCACCAGGCCCATTCAATGAATGCCATCCACACAGCATCCGTAAATTCAACCAAGCAACATCGATGATATCAGGCACAGTCACAGACTTCAGCGGCAGCAACTGAGGCACAGTGCCCTTCAGCAAAAGTAATAGAATGTATGATAGTCAGTCAACTTGCATTTAGTTTTGTGCCTGCCATATCAAGTGACTCATGAATCAATGAATGTCAGTCAGTGAAGGTTCCACCACCCAAAGGTTTAGTTGGTTATAAAACTAACAACTTGAAACATGCTCTTCTCAAAACAAACTGAAGTATCAATAGTAGTAGTACTCTCAAATGTTAAACAGCACTAATAATAAAATGATGATGACAATGAAACGCTGACTTTCAAACACAATAATTAAAGCATTTACTTGTCAGCTGTTTAATGAACATCATGTTCAGAAACAAAAGTGACAAATACACTGCGTTTTCAATTCATTTTAAATCACTTTTTTTGCATTTTTAAAGCAAACAAAGTGCACAAATAAGATGTTACAAGCTTAAAAAAAAGATGATTCAAACGTGATTCAAAGTGATGTTTGTTTTCCCGTAAACAAGGGTCACCTGGAGAGGGGTAGCGCCTTGGGGTCTCCACTTCGAGTTGGGGACATGGAGCATGTCTGACAGGATGTTGATCGTTCTACTGAAGGTTACTAGCTTCATCGACATGACTACTTTTGGTGATCATAGGAGTGCTTGTGATGCTGATGGGGAATTCCAGAAATCACCACGAAAATTGCCTAAGGTTTAGGGTTTAAGGTTTTGCGCCTGCAGCCTTGGCTGTCAGGTACCTTCTTGGACGTGTGTCGTTCAAGGGTCCCAGTGATGACCAAAGATTTAAAGAAGCCAATCTGTGTGACTTCAAGAGATATCTGAGGGGTCCTGGCTTCATCCCTTGTCGATTTGATGTTTGGCGTGCATGTTGACTTGAGTTGTTGTCTGCGTGCATGGTTGTTGAGCTTGGCGTGCTTTGTTGAGTTTGCGGTTGAAGACTTGCGGACGTCAAGGTTGAAAGCTTAGTTGATGAACTTAGTCTTTCAAACGCGTGGAGAGAAGACGAAGAAGACATAAAAAGGAAATTTATAGAAAGAGGATAGTGTAGCTGGCATGTAGCGACCCAAGAAGGGGCATGAAAAGTTAGGAGTGGGCAGTATGGCTCTCTACATGTAGCTCTGTATAGGAATGTTGAATTTGATTTTCCA